ATAAAGTCGTAGATTAAATAAGTCCTAAGCAAGAAAATTTGTATGTAATCTAGTGTTATAAGAATATTAGGTTCATATAAAATATTTTTTAAAATTTCAAGGCATGAAAATAATAAGCCCTCTTAAATTTTTTAAGTTTTTGCACAATGTAATATTTTTTTGAGTTTTACTTTTTTTAATTAGTGGCAAGTTTGTGTCAAACTAAATAATTAAATTAATTAAAAACATTTTCAAATATTTTCTTAATTTTTTTATGTTTGGCATACTCTGATAATTTTTTCGTCTTTACTTTTTTGAATAGGTGGCAATTCTGTGCATATTGTATGTCAGTAAAATTCTCTCCAGAACATATTATTAAAATTTGTCTATTTTACACACTGTAATATTCAATATAATATTTTGATTTATTTTTCTTAGTATTATTCGTCTGGATAAGTAGCAAATCTACCACAGAATTGATGCATTTCCAAAGCCGAAAGCGAAAATGGTCGTGTTCGAATAGCGAGAGCGAGTAGCGGAATAAGGTCACGAAGGTTTTGCCATGTATTTGGTGGGATAGGCAGCGAATCATCTATTATGAGCTGCTCCTCTACTGCAACACTTTTAATTCGGATCTGTACTGTTAACAATTGAACCATCTAAAGGAAGCAATAGCTCAGAAGCAGCCACATTTTTTNAAAAAAAAATTGCAAAGCGCATTAATTGCGAATTTCATTGCAATTAATTGAATTTTTTTATTTTTGTCCATTTGGAATTTTTTTAAAATTTAATTATTTGTTGTTGCTGTTTATTTACTTTTTGCGCCTTTTATAACATTTTATTGTATTTTCATTGAAACTTTTTAAATATTTGCGTCGTTATTATATTCAATCGCTTGAGTGCTTTTAATTAACTACATTTTCATTTAATTTGTTCCGCTCTATTATGCCACAAGCTGCAGCATAAAGTGCGCTTTATGTGTGCGCTTACCTTGATTCCTTATTCAAATGGTAGTTGATCGCTCTGGCCATCAGCATGGTAACCATTGGACGCAGCGCTTTGCCCTGGCCGTCGAAGTAGTACGAGGCGATCTTATCGAGTTCCGTCTGACTCGTGCCTTGCCGCAGGAGCTGCACAAAGAAACAACAATAATATAAGGTGAATAAAAATGAATAATAATGGAAAAAACAAAATATTCCTCACATGCCTCACTAGCAAACTAAATTTTATTGACAATTAAAAAAACACATTTTGCATGTAGTTGGAGGGCAACTAAATTGCGTAGTAAAAACTGCAGTTCCTACACTCAAACAACTAAATAATTCTAAAATTTTAATTTCAACTATTTACGTATGCTAAACTGCGCTTTCAAGGTGATGTGCACACACAAACATATACACATGTGTATAAACAAATAAACCCAAAATCATTTACTCATCCGTTTGAGGTATAAATAACTTTTAACCATATTGTAGCGCGACAAAATTCCCACAACGTCACAGCGCATTCATCAAAGCAGCAATTTGAAAAAAAATAAGTCATCTAAATGCCGAAAGCGTCTTATGTTGTCGCTTTTATGCGCTAACTATTGCCGCGGTTGGCGAGTGTAAATGCGGATTTTTATCACATTTAACTTCTTATTTGCGCGCATATGCTTGCTCTATTATGTCATACACACAAAAAATAATAAATTTAGTCTAAAAAAATATTTTAAGCATAGTATTTGACATTTGCATATTTTTGTTGTGCGCAATGATCATGATCATCGGGGTGTTTTCCTAGGTATGAATAATAAAAGCAGAGCAGAAACTTGAGTTTCTACTCTCTAAAACTTCTGAGCGAAAATAACAGTATAGAGCAATTTTAGAGTTAATTTTAATTAATTTTAAAGGCGTCAAGTCAGGCTAAGTTTATCACAGATTAAGTTTAACAAGTAAAGAATGGCTAAGTTCGGATGTAACCGAACATTTTATACTATTGGAACTTGCACGTATCAAAGCCTTCGGAATTTCTTCAGGTGCTGGCAAAACCGTATATTAAAAAATTTTGCGAAAAAATTAAACATATATTATGTGATGAAATCGTGAATAAATTACAATCAAATTGGGCATATTCATGACTTATATTGAAGACCATAAGCTTAGACTTAGCTTAGTTACTATATTTTAGTTTGCGTTAGCTAAAATATATATCCTTCAAATGAGATACAAATATGTATGTGATATTAACTCGACCGAAGCGGCTAAATTTAATATATTGAGTTGATGAGGAAAACGTCAACCAGATGATCGGAAGTCATTATATTAGGGATATGAAGTTTAGTGCAAGGTATAGACCATTCTAATTCAGCGCTAAGCCACATAATTTTTTAAGAAAACTTGTCCATTTAATTTCATTTGACATTGCTCAGGTAGACTCGAGAACATATTTTGAAGTCATTTAATATATAAATATTACTCACTGACCAACATATTCGGAAAAACTTGTTAGAATAAAGAAAATAATTGTAAGTAGTATATGCGAGTTGGGGATAGTATTGACCCGATTTTAACAATTTGTGCCAATACCACATACTATTGTACTGAGATGCTCCCAGGGTTTCATTAAGGTACCACACATACCATCACCAATCATATGGAGTGAGGTCAGCCGGGTATTCGAAAATCCTGATATTAGTTATTTGGGGGCTAGATCAAGTTTTCGCCTAATTTTATACATTATTGCCACAAAGATACACTGTTATGTGTCAAACACGCTCTATCATTTTCATTGAGATAACTTAAATATTGGCCAAGTCTTGAACGGTTTTGGTTCGATTTGCACAATTTTTGGCCACAAGGTGTCATACTTTAAACGTATTATTCACGCAAAGTTTTACGCCAAAATAATCATTGTTGCTTGATTTGAATAGGGAAAGTGAAAGAATCAGATGAAGTTTAAAATGGTGTTATATGGGAAATAGGCCTGGTTTTTGTCCGTTTCAGCACATTTTCGCACGGTAACAAAAGAATGTTAGATACCGGATTTGGTTGAACACAGGTAGCAAGATAAGGAGCGCTTAGGGGATTTGTCCTCAGCCAACTTGGTTATTTTAGCTTCAATGGTGTAGGAGACATGTACATTAAGCTTTTAAGTGAGCGGGGCCTATTTTTTTAGGAATTTTTAGCCCACAGGTGCCCCTTGCTACTGCGATTTCCTATGCCAACTGTCCTGTACTGGTCGAATTATTGAATCTAAGCTAAATAAGGATAGCTACATAATATTATATTGCGTTTAAAAAATAAAGTTTTCGTTTACAAAGTATAGTTAGCCTTTATTAGGAACTTGTTTTAATTATTTAAAAATGCATTGTTTTGTTATAGTTGACGTGTATTCAATATTTGCTCCAATCTCCCGCTTTTGTCTATTACGACCTAATATCATTGATGGCAACTTGCAACTAAATTTTTCGCATATTCCACAGGAAGCGACCTCCAAGTATGTTGGAGTAGCGGAATGGAATCTCTTGTTGACGTTAAATGTTTTCTTGAGATTGTGGTTTTCATTAAAGCCCAAACATTCTCTATTGAATTGGCTGCTGGTAATTGTGATGGCCAAACTAAAGTAACAATATGGTTTTCTTGTTTTCATTAAGTACAGAGTCTGCTTCTATTTTTCGGATGATTGTCTTCTTAGAGTACCCAATCATGGTTATATTTGATGTAAAGCCTTTCAACTGGTGTTGAAGATATACAAACAACAATACAAACATTAACTCATCTGTAAATATTGAGTTACTTCAATCACGGTTGAGGTTTTTCTGCTCTCAATGTAACCATTTTCAGCGGTTTGATAATAGTGCTGTGGCGTTTGATGCTAGATCTCTGAAGTATGTCTTGTATTGTTGTTAGAGATATATCTAATCCCTTTAAAAAAAAAATTTGTTCAGTTTCTCTTAGAGTGTGCAGTGGTTTTTTCTCAAAAAGGATTAAAATAGCTATGTCCTCACTTTTTCTTCTTGGCTTGTCATCTACTTTTCCAGTTTCTTCATAATGGTGAGACCACCTTTTCACAAATGTACAACTCGTATTTTAATACTTTCCAGTTTTTTTTTATTACTCCATTTGTGACCTTTTTAGATGCTTCGTTAGAAATTCTGCATTAAAACGTTTCTTATACTGAGCATTCATTTTTCTTATTTCACGGCACGATGTGACACATTAAAAATATCCAAAAAAAATGATTGAATTATACGCGTCAGTGATGGCAATTGAATATGTGTTAATTTGCAACAAAAAAAAACCTAAAAAACGTTTTCTGCGAACTGATCACACAAAGTCAAAACGTTATTTTTGAACGCACTGTATATATTTTATAAAGTCTCCGATATTGCAAACACCGTGGCAAACTGAATATACCCTATTCAGGGTTAAAAAAAACAACTAAACATGAAGTATGTTTAAATTAGAATTGTAGTAATTCAAATATATTAAAATTCAAACACTAAATAATAGTGCAATGGTGATAAAGTGGTATTAATTAACTTAGCTCAGCTCATTATGTATAGTACTGTAATTTATTATACTAAAATTATTAATTCTCATTTCGTTGCCGGGCTGTTCCAATACAAAATATATTACAGTAAATCTACATCCCAGGTTTGATCTATAACCTGCACTTCGCAAATGACATCATCGTAGAACAGTATGATCGTCTCTCGAGCTATGATGCTACGGATCAATTATGAATCCCAATCGCACAGGTAATCCAAATGCCGGCTGTGCATGCAACCGAGCTGTAATTGACGGATACTTTTTGCTATTATTTAGAGCTTGAGCTTTTATTATTTATATTTGAGCTGCCTGTGGATTTAAAGTTTGGTGGTGATGGGTGGCAGCATTTGTAAGTTTACCAGCTAGTTGTGTCGGAAGAATGAAAGAAAAAAAATGGAAATTTTAAAAGATAGAAAATATTTTAAGAATTTATGTAAATACTATAGCATATCTGAATGAAATGTATGGCAAATAATATGATTAGTGCCACTACTGAAATAATGACTATTAGCAAAAAACAAATGTCGCACGGTGTTAAAACTTACAATACTACTTTAATTTGCCGCAAATGCCATAAGGTTAAATAATTCTTGATTTGCCCGCAAAGTCAGCAATCACATGGACAACAAAGAGTGCCAACACGCCAAGCCTGAAGATTGCGCAGCGTAACAACCTATAACAATAAAAGTGTCGATTAAGAAATGACACATAATCTGATGAAATAAAATCGAAGATTTGAAAATACAACAATAAATAACAATAAGAAAAACTAAGTTCAACAAATCAGCTCCAAATTAACGTTTCGCGATTCATACAATAACAAGGACACTGGAGTGTCACTGCGTCTCTCAAAAGCGTACCAGAAACTCGTTGTAGTGCCGCAAAGGTTTTGTATGTGCCGTCAGCGCAATCAGCACAACTAAATCGACACATCAACCCTGTACAACAACAGCAATATACAGTCATGCGGCAGTTAGTGTTGACGACACAGTAGCTCATTTGGCATAGAGAATATCAACTGAAAATTGCCGCGTCACACACCACATCGCCTACACCCATTCTACCTCCACCAGTTCATATGTCATTAGTTTATGTAGACGTTAAGGACATTAGTAGTTAGCAATTTGACGCACATTCTCTTTGAGGCGCAAATGCACTTATGAGTGATAAAGCGCGCTACATTGAGGCGTGAGCGGGCGGGTGTTGCTTTCTTGTGAGGAGGTGAACAAAGAAATATTCAGGAACAAGATTTTAGAAAGTAGGTATAGTAGCCATTTATTCGATCAGGTGCAAAACCAGGAGGTTGTAGGTTTATACAGTATAAGCATATATTCATATAGATATGACAAAGAAGTAGTTATATGGTATAGATAATATCTTATATGCATATTTAGTGCATGTTTCGTTTATCAGCACACGACGAAGCCTTAATCAAATTTGCCAATCGATTCATAGGTTTGATGACGTAGTAAATCATTTACGATGCCAATGTGGCTAAAGGTGGAGATCAAAGGGTTACTGAATGAGTGCTAACATAAGAATGGCCGTTATAAATTGCCTAAATTATGTACAGCAAATGTAGAAATTACCTCGGTTGA